CTATGAGTCGGTTCCGACTCGATGGCACCTGACAACAACAACAACAACAATGTGAGGCACACCCCAGTCACTCTACTACAAAGATTGGTTTAAGAGATAATACTCAGGAAAAAAGGAATTTCAGAATTCCTTAATACCTGATTTTTTTTATGACTCCTTATATACATGAGTCTTCATCGCCTACCCAATTCAATGTTTTAACTATTTTGTGTCTTTGTGTGTTTGTCCATATTTTCTTTTATAAAATTTAATTTTTCCTTTTCTAATATGCTTCTCAAAAATACTGTCTCCTGTAATTTATTCCTATAACTTATTCTTCAAGTATTCCTCAAATTTTCTTTTTTTAGACTATGACTAGAAAGCACAGATGATAAAAGTGGGACTTCATTCTATAAAAGTAGTGTATTTTTACTAAAAATAAAATATTGATGTGGTAGTTTCAAACTGCTATCTTATTTCACATTGATGCTTTTGAGTTGTGGTGTTGGAGAAGAATATTGAGAGTGCCATGGGCTGCCAAAAGAACCAACAGATCTTTTAGAAGAAGTGATGCCAGAGGGCTCCTTGGAAGCCAGGATGGCTAAGCTTCGTCTCTCATACTTTGGACATATTGTCAGGAAGGACCAGTCGCTGGTGAAGGATATCATGTTTGGTAAGATGGAGGGTAAGAGAAAAAGAGGAAGACCCCCAACAAGATGGATTCGCCAGGTGGCAACATCAATGGACTCAAGCATGGCAACAATTGTGAGGTTGGGCCAGGATTGGGCAGTGTTTCATTCTGTTGTGCATTGGGTCGCTATGAGTCGGTACCAAATCAATGGCACCTAACAACAACAGTATATCAGCACTGAATCAGAATAGTCACAGTATAATAATCTTTAATAATAAAGTATTTAAATATATTTAAGTTTCTAAGTTTCCAGTAAAATTTCTCATGAAATGAATGCCAACTTAAACAATGGGTGTGTTATCTACATCAGTATAAGAAAGGAAACAAAATAATTTGATTCCTAATTCTAACCCTAACTCTACACTTAATTCTAAGTGTTTCTTAGAGTTGGATGGTGTAAAAATTTTTTTAAACATTCTGCAAAAAATGTTATTATACTAGTGGCACAGTGGCAAAAGTGCTTGGTTCAAACCTGCCAGCCACTCAGTGTGACAAAGATGTGGCAGTCTGCTTCTGATTTACAGTCTTGGAAACACTGTGGAGGCAGTTCAACAATGTTTGATATGGTTGCTATGAGTTGGAATCAACTTGATGGCAGGAGGTTTAATTCAAGTCACTAGATGAGGCACAGGTTAAATACTATGACAAACTTCAGAGTTCTATTATTAATACAGATCAAACTAATAGATAAACCAAATTTGCAGATGGTTTTTACCTGTTGTAGAGCCATAACATTACTTTTATCAGCATCAAGTTGGGCATTTTTAAGTTTCTCCCTCAAATTATGTAACATTTGCTGATATTCAATAATTTCGTCATCTTTAGAAGATAAAATTAACTAGAAATAAACAAAATAATGTATGTTACACAAAAGTAAAATGAATAAAATATTCCTTATTTATGGCGAATATTCTAACATATGCCTATAATAGTAGCAGATTTCAAGGAAATACCAAAAATTGAATTATATGAAATAAGAAAGTGACAATAACGTCAATCTTTCTTCTTTTTTGTGCTTACCACTTTAAGTAAGAAATGTATGAAGCATGTATAGCATAAAATTTTGTTTTTTCAGAATTCAATCTTTAAATAATCTCATGTTTTTAAAACAATTTGCAAGCAAGTTATAAATACACCTATACAACTGCAAAAAGTTTTATGAAATTGTTTATGAAGAAAACAAAAAATCCCGCTGGAAAACATAAAAATATGTTGAATGAACAGAGAGGCATGTCATTTTCTATGGAAGGATTAAATATAACAAACGTTAATTCATCCTAAATAAATCTATAAATATAAAACTTATACAAAAGAATTAACAATTTGAAAAACAACTTGTTGTTTCTAAAGGTCACATAAACAATATTCATAAGGAAAAGTCTAAAAAGAGAGAATGAGAAGAAAAGTTTTTTTCAGATATAGAATTGATGCCTTTGAGTTGTGGTGTTGGAGGAGAATATTGGAAGTGCCATGGGCTGCCAAAAGAACTAATACATCCGTTTTGGAAGAAGTACTGCCAGAGTGCTCCATGGAAGCCAAGATGGCCAAACTTCGTCTCTCATACTTTGGACATATTGTCAGGAGGGACCAGTCACTGGAGAACGATATCATGTTTGGTAAGGTGGAGGGTCAGAGAAAAAGAGGAAGACCCCCAACGAGATGGAATGGCCAAGTGGCAGCATCGATGGACTCAAGCGTGACAACAATAGCGAGGTTGGCCCAGGATTGGGCAGTGTTTCTGTCTGCTATGCATAAGGTCGCTATGGGTCAGTACCAACTTGCTGGCACCTAACAACAACAATAACAACAGTAATTAAAGTAAATATAGATGGTACATACTTGCTTTAATTACTGTATGTTTATGAATATCTGAAAAAAAAGATAGTCTTCTCATTCTCTCTTTTTAGATTTTTCCTTATGAATATTGTTTATGTGACCTTTAGAAACAACTTACCAAGTTCTAGATGCTACATAAGGAGCTCTGGTAGCATAGTGATTATGAGTCGGGCTGCCAACCTCAAGGTCTGCATCTCGAAACTACCAGTGGTTCCATGGGAGAAAGATGAGGCATTCTCCTCCCCTTAAGATTTACAGCATCAGAAATCCTGTGCAGGGTCACTATGATTCAGAATCGACTCCACGGTACATAACAACAACAACAACATAGATGGTATATATAGATCAATCAGTATATAACAGAAGAGAGTTCAAAAATCATTTCAAATGCAATAGGAATTGGGTAAATATGTAATAAAAATAGAAATAAAGATAAATATTCAATAAATGGTATTAGGACAGTAGTACAGTGTCCGCCCCTACATGTTTATCTTACTCTTTATACCACAATTATATGTGTTGTAAAGATTTAAATGTTAACGATGAAACCAGAAAGTATTATAAGAAAACAAGAGAAAATGATTTTATACTCAGAAGCCTTTGTAATTATGACACAAAAACCATTTTAAAAAATTAAATTACCTACACAATATAAAAAGAAATATATCATAGGGAAAAAATACAATTAAGTCAAAAGCTAAATGAAAAACTAAAGAAACACATTTGCATTTTATAGCATAAGTACAGTTTACCAATTTATTTTACAGATTCACATTCGCAAAATAATATAAAAGGCTATTCATTAAAAATAATTTCTAATAACAAAAATTGAAAACCTGTCAATCAATAAAGAGCAAATTAAGTAACATATACAACTACAAAGAAAAGTTATAGACATTAAAAAGAACAAAGCACTACTATGTATACTAATATGAAATAATTTAGAGAGATATAAAGTTTAAATGTAACATGCTATCATTTCCCCTCCCTACAGTATTAAATATGTTACACACAACTGTTTATATCAAGGGTTGGAAAACTATGGTCTGCATGTCAAATCTAATGTACCCTCTATTTTTACAAAGTCTTATTGGCAAACATTCTTACTAATTAAATTACCTTGTTGTCTATTGCTGCTTTCACAGTACAGCTGAGTAGCAAAACAGGGACCAGATGATCCATAAAGTCTAAACTATTTACTGACTCTTTACAAAAAGTTTGCCAAGCCTTGATTAATTCTATATGACTTATTGCTATGGCTAATGTTTCTGTTTAAAATACAGGTTATGTGAGCTTTCAAGATTATCACCAATTCCAAATACCCAACAAAGTCCAGGTAGAAATGATAATTATAAAAATGCTAGCTTTGAAAAAAAAAATAGCAGTTCATTCACCATTATCTTAGAACATTTTTCAAAACATATATTCACCATGATCCCAATTTCTGAAATGGCAAGACAGGGGGATTCGGTTGAAGTTGGAGTGGTAAGGACAAAGATACATATATATTTTACAAAGGTTTTTCAAATGATTCTGATAGATCCTTTTTCTTACTCCCATTCCAACTGAACACTAACTGTGTGATTAATTTGACATGGAAAGTCATATTGGAAAAACTAAAATTTAACCTGGATTTAATATAACTAATATACACAAGATAACTTGTGAATGATACGAAAAAAATTGTATTTTATTTAGAATCTTCTGTTTTAGATGACGATGATATTTCAGAGTTAGACATTAATATTTTAAAATCTTTCTCATTCAATTATAAATGAGCTAGAGGGCTATGTGTGGTGCTGTGGGATAAAGCACTGGACTGCTAGTAGGTTTGAACCACAGTTTGGCAGTTCAAACACACCAGTCGCTCCTTGGAAACCCTATACAGGATCGTCATGAGCAGGAACCGACTCAACGACACTTAACTACAAAGAAGGCTATATAAGACAGCTCCTAGGAAAAGTTTTTCTAGCTAAGAAATATACAATATACTAAAAAAAAAATGTCATTAAGTAATATAAGGCCTTTAAAGAAAATTAGGATACTTCAATCGACAATACAAAATCATAAAGCCTTTATAACAGTTGAGAAAAGCACCTTCCATTCTTCTACTTTAGCATTGACAGCTACCATGACTGGATCATCTTCTTCATTTTTTGCTTTCAAAAGTCCTGTGAGCTCCTGCACCTAAAAGGCAATAATCAGTTTAACAACTGTTGTAAATTGGTACAATTTATATATATACATACGTTAGATATACATCACAAATTTATATTTATTATTAGAGTAGTTTTGTAGTGAGGATCCCTGGAGCCACCGTGGTTAACCACTTGACTGCCAACCAAAAGGTAGAAGTCAGCAGCCACTTCACAGGAAAGAGTTGGCCGAGTCTGTTTCTGTACAGATTTATAGCCTTACAATCTCCATGGGGCAGTTCTACCTTGTCCTATAGGGTCAATACGAATTGGAATCAACTCGATGACAATGGGGTTGTGTTTGTACTGAGAGGTAACATTTAACGGTTTCTGTAGTTGGAGTTGCATTATTTGCCACTACCATATAATTCCATTGCTATACACTTCCATTAGAATCCTATTTTTAACCATTAGTCTATTTTTAAAGGTTTATTTCCATGTAAATAATAAGCAATATATGACTTTCCATGATATTTATAGTAAATGTATTATAAATCACAAGACTTTTTAGTTTCTTTAATAGAAAATCCCCATAATCGCTAGCTTTAAAGGACTACTGTCGATATATTAATTCAAGGATCATTTATATAACCTAAATGAGATAAATCAGAAGGTTTGTGTGAGGGGTTTAGAGAAGCACATTTGGACAAATCTATCAGCATGGCAACACGCTGTAGTAATCAGACACAAAAATTTATATCCTAAAAAAAAATTACTCTTAATTTAAAATAAATAAATAAACTATTCTAGTAGTAATTCTTACTTGAAGCCGATAATGCTCATTTTCTTTTTTTAACTGATCCATGACATTATCTGTTTGATGTACAACTGCTTTCATTCTATTATATTCATCAGTCATCTTTTCCATTTCCTGTACAGATTCCTCTAGGTTTTTTCTCATTTCTTGGTTCTGAATGTCAATTTTCTCATTAGCTTCAGTTAAAGTCTAAGAAAGTTAGACACTGTGATTAATGGAAATTTTTTTAAGAATCTGAAATTTAAATTAGATGAAGATTAAATGAAGTCATATGTGCCCATTACAGCAAAGTTTTTATACACTTTCAGTATCAATTAGTACTGACTAAATAAATCAAACTAAATATAAAGGAAATGTCAGACTAGATCTCAATTCTTAAACAATGTCCAAGACAAGCACATATTAAGAAAAAATGAATAAAGAATTACATCAAAGATGCAAATTATTTAAGATTTTACAAATACACAGCTGCAGATTGATACTGAAGCATTTGTAGGACTAAATATTAAATTTATGTTATAATTAAAGTTTCACAGAATCATTGTTTTGAACTGATTTTTATCAGTTTTACCTGAATTTCATCTAGATATTGTACAAGTTCATAGTTTTTTTTAGACAGCTGTGATCGGTAGTCACTGTCTTCGCCTCTTCTTGATAGAAGTGTTTCTTTTTGTGAATCTATTTGCTTCTGATAGTCAATAATATCCTGACGAAGTTGCTCATTCTGCAGATAGACAAACATCACTTTCTATTAAGAAATTATCAAAAGTAATAAAGTGATCTCCTTTAAGCTGTGATCTCAAAAGCTATCTTTAATTCCCAGCATTTTTCCACGCTTACAACCTCACTTTTTTCTTTAGACATTTGTTCTCCAGAAAAGGACAAGAAAAAGGTAATTAATAATGATAAAGGGAACACATAAATACAACTAACAAAATAAAGATGGCAAAAAAACAGGAAAAATTGAGATATATTATTTTAGGTAACCAAAGAAAATAAGAGTAATACTTATCAACTAAACCAAAGAACATTTTGATTCTGTTTAAAAAGATAAGGACTATCAAAATTAAAAAATAGATAAACATGATAAACATTATTTGGCTCAGAAAAAAAAAATAATCAGAGTTCATAAGATTTTATAAAAAACAAAAATTTTTAAAGTATCTAGATAGAATACAATAGGAAGTGAAATTCATTCATATACTAAATTAGTGAACTAACAAGAAGAGAATGGCATACATATACAAAACAGTAACAAGATTTACCTACATAGATGAAGAGAAGAATATTGTACTTACTGGTCACTTTCCAATATATTTTATCTATCCCTGAGAAAATCAGCCCATTTAAAAGACTGGTCACTTAGAAAATTCCAATTTGGGTTACAATATAAATTTATGAAAACATTTGTAGCAACTCTTCTTGTTGAACCACCACAACTAAAATCTTTTTACCAACCTCTCTTCTTAATTTGCTGTTTTCATTTTCTGCCTCCTCATTTCGAAGAGCCAACTAGAATTGTAAAAGATAAAATTAAATTTAGCAGCAATCCAATCTAAGGCCAAGCTTTTAGTTTAAATAAATTTAGTTTTTAAATCCTCTCTAGTAAAGCAGGTAATGTTTAACTAAGAACATCTTATCTATCTAAGATATTCAGACAAAACTTTTTGAAAACTGTTTAAGAATTAGAAAGGATCAAACAAGATGGGCTTAAAAAGACACTAACATGAAATTAATGTTCAGCTTTTGTTTTGCAGCAGGACTTTAAAGACTCCACACACACCTCTAGCAGCTACAGAGACATCAACAAGTTCCTTCCCCAGGAACTACACTACACATATATTGTTTCTATTTTATATAAGCAGTATATTAATCATACCATTCCTGCTTTTAATACATGTTAGTGTTACGTCTGAGGCCTGATGTAGCACTGCAGGATAAACACTGGACAGGAAACCATATGGTTGATAGTTCAAACCCACAGCAGCTCTCAGAAACAAGATACAGGGTTGCTGTGAGTCAGAACCAATTCATGGCACACAACAAAAACAAATTGTTACTTTAGGTTTTATGTGTTATTTGGAATGATTTGATAAGTTATTTTGGGGTCTAGGAATGCTCACAAATGTTTCCCATATAAATTAATGGGTTGTTTTTTTGTTTTTTGTTTTGCTTTATGCTATTTTGGCTTACAAAAGGTTTCATATGAACTCTCTACTTTTGGATAGTGGGCTAAGCATGTACAATGTCTGACCTTTGATTGCACCTTCGATAATAGTGTGGTGGGGTGGAGGTAGGTGGGTGATTAGCTTAGTAGAGAAAAATCTTATTACAGAAACAATATTTAGATAATAGTTGTTACTATTGTTGTTGTTGTTGTTAAGTGCCATCAAGTTGGTACCGACTCATAGGGAACCTATGCATAATAGAATGAAGCACTGCCCAGTCCTGGGTTAAACTCACAATTGTTGCCACGCTTGAGCCCATTGATGCTGCCACTTTGCCAATCCATCTCACTTGGGGTCTTCCTCTTTTTCTCTGACCCTCTACCTTACCAAACATCATATCCCTCTCTAGTGATTGGTCCCTCCTGACAATATGTCCGAAGTATGAGAGACGAAGTCTGACCATCCTGGTCTCCAAGAAATATGTGTTGGCTGCACTTCTTCCAACACAGATAAGTTGGTTCATTTGGTAGCCCACTGTATTCTCAATATTCTCTTCCAGCACCATAACTCAAAAGCATCAATTCTCCTATGGTCTTCCTTATTCACTGCCCAGCTTTCACATGCATATAAGGTTACTGAAAATACCATGGCTTGGGTCAGGCGCACCTTAGTCCTCAAGCTGATATCTTTGTCCTTCAACACTTTAAAAAGATCTTGTGCAGCAGATTTGCGTAATGCAATACGTTGTTTGATTTCTTGGTCGCTGCCTCCATGACTGTTGGTGGTTGATCCAAGAAAAATGAAGTCTTTGACAACTTTAATCTTTTCTCCATTGATAAGGATGTTGTTTATTGGTACACTGGTGAGGATTTTTGTTTTCTTTATATTGAGATGCAATCCATACCGAAGGTTGTGCTCTTTAATCTTCATCAGTAAGTATTTTAAGTCCTCTTCATTTTCAGCAAACAAGGTTATATCAGGTTATAACAAGTTGTTGCTATTAAGTGCTGTCAAGTCAGTTCTGACTCATAGTGACCCTGTATAAGAGTGGCTGGTGAATCTGAACCCTGACCTTGTAGTTCAAACCAACCTTGTAGTCCAGTGCTTGTCCTACAGCACCACACCAGGACTCCAGATAATAGTGCTGACTCAATATTAAATTTCCTGAGTATGATTATTATATTGTGGTTATGTAGAATGTCCTTATTTTCAGACGACAGATGCTAGCTAAAATAAGAGTGCTCCTTGGAGGCCAAGATGGCCAAACTTTGTCTCTCATACTTTGGACATATTGTCAGGAGGGACCAGTCACTGGAGAAGGATATCATGTTTGGTAAGATAGAGGGTCAGATAAAAAGAGGAAGACCCCCAATGCGATGGATTGGCCAAGTGGCAGCATCGATGGACTCAAGCGTGGCAACAGCAGTGAGGTTGGCTCAGGATCAGGCAGTGTTTTGTTCTGCTGTGCATAAGGTCGCTATGGGTTGGTACCGACTCGATGGCACCTAACAACAACAAAGTGTCTTGATATCTGTAATTCTCAAATGGCTAAGCAGAACAAGGAGGAAAATAATATGCTGGACTGCAAGGTTGATTTGAACCACAGGTCAGTGGGTCAAGCTCACCAGCCACTCCTCAGAAGCCCTATACAGAGTTGCTACAAGTTGGAAACAACTTGAAGGCGCTTAACAATAACAACATAAAATGACACAGAAAGTTAAAATAAAAGTGGCACAATGTAAACCAATAGGGCATATGGAAGTTCACAGTTTTTCTTACACTCTTTATTAAGGTATGAAATTTTTCACAATAAAAGTTTTAATTTTATAATAAAGTACTTTACAAATCTTAGAAGCTTGCCTATTGTTATTATTTTCTGAGAGTTAAAAAACATTCACCATGTGTTTTGATTTGAAATTTTTTAACAAGAACAGTGAGGTAAGAACTTAACTCTTGAAGCATTTAATGCTAGAGGGCCAAACTTCGTCTCTCATACTTCAGACATATTGTCAGGAGGGACGAGTCGCTGGAGAAGGATATCATGTTTGGTAACGTGTAGGGTCAGAAAAAAGAGGTAGACCCCCAGCGAGATGCACTGGCAAAGTGGCAGCATCAATGGGCTCAAGCGTGGCAACAATTGTGAGGTTGGCCCAGGACCAGGCAGTGTTTCGTTCTGTTGTACATAGGGTCGCTATGAGTCAGTACCAATTCGATGGCACCTAACAACAACAATCTCTTTTTCTTCTAGGTTTCTCAAACACTAAACTTTGTATTACTTTCACTCTTCCTCTTTCACTTCTTATTAGATACTTCTCAGAGATCCACTGTACAATCTATGCCTCTTGGGTAATCCCTTCTTCCACAGCTTTAAAAATATCTATGCTGGTGACACCAGAGATGGAGGCAGAGATGAGGACATGGAGAGAGGGAGCAGATGAGGACTCTAGAGTCATGGGAAAAGAGGGACTGAGTGCTGGAGGCCAGAGGCAGGCATGCAGAATGTGCCCTTTGGCTGTTTAAATTATTACATATTCTTTAGTGTTTTTATGTACATCTCTCCACCACTTCACACACACACACACACACACACACACACAAGAAAAACAGAGGGAATGAAAGCAAATACTGTTTGATGATGCATGGAGATTGTAATCATTGCAATGAAATGATGGTGTAAAGCTGATGTTCTCCCATGTAAACTATACTTCAGTTCACACACACAAAATTTAAAATGAAAATATCTATGCTGAAGATCCACAACCTATTATTATTCACCCAAGTGTCTTTTTTGAATTCCTGATACACAGATACCTTATTTGGTTATTTCCACAGAGATCTCAAATTCAGCATGTGCAAAGCTAAAATAATCTCAAACATTCCCAAATTCCTCTAGTGTTTCTTCTTAAAGAATGGCACGATCTACCTATCTAGTGACCTAGCACAAAAAGTTGGTGGACTCTACATTACTCACTCTTCTTTCACAACCAATGAGTATACCCAATTATAGCTGTTTCTTTCAAACATGTTTATGTCTCTTAAATTCATCACTACTTTAATTGGGCCATCATCAAACTTGCCTGAATTAGTAAACATGTCTCCTTACCATCTCCCCACCTCGTCTTGGAAACCTTCAATTCATCATTTGAGATAGAGTAAACTTTTTAATGTATAGATCCAATCATATATTCTGAACACATTAGAAATCCTTCATTTGATCCTTTTAGGAAAAGAGCTAAACTTCAAAAAATGGGCCTTGCTTAGCTCTCCAGAAATTGATGGTGCTAATACTGGAAGGCAGTATTTTACAGTAGCTAGGAGTATAGACCCTTGGGTCTAATGGTCTGGATTCAAATCCTAGGCTAACCTCACAATCGTTGCTATGCCTGAGCCCATCGCTTCTGCCACTGTGTGAATCCATCTCACTGGGGGTCTTCCTGTTTTTCTCCGATGCTCCATTTTAACAAACATGGTATCCTTCTCCAGGGACTGGTCCCTCTTGACAACTTGTCTAAAGTATGAGAGACAAAGTCCGGCCATCCTGGCCACCAAGTAGCACTCTGGCTGTACTTCTTCCAGCACAAATATATTTG